CACTGGCCTACATTCCAGCAACTGGTACGTGACTACTGGCACCTTGACATTCCAATTATCGACATGAACGAAAATGAATTAGACAACTGTATTAAGAAGTTCACGAACCTTTTGCAACAGTGTTATCATCTAGCAAGTAAACAAAAGACAAAATCAACAACTAATGCCCCATGGTGGGACAGCGAACTAACTAATCAACGCAAGAAAGTACGTAAACTCCGTAAGCGTTACCAGCATCAAACAAACGATCAGATCAGGATTACACAGAAGGCTGAGTATATCGCAAGCTTCAATGAATATAAGACTCTTATTAACAAAAAAAGGCACCAGGTCTGGAGGAGTTTCTGTAGTAGGTTCAATGATCCTTGGTGCGAACCATACTACACAGCTTTTAAAAAGAAAGAAAAGGTGGATATACCATCATCCATTAAAACGACTGAGGGTTCCTACACCAGTACACTGGAGGATACCATTGACAATCTCTTTAAGTACCACTTTCCTCTGGACGACCCTGCCAGTGACACAGAGACTCAAAGCGAGATCCGTAATAATGCCACTCAATCAACTAACCAAGAAGATGATCGTTACTTTACATATAACGAAGTCAATCATGCAATTCATAAGATCAACAACAAGAAAGCCCCTGGAGTAGACCGTATCACAGGGATTATGATTAAGGAGGCATTCGCAGCCACCCCGACTACGTTTGTAACCCTGTTTAATCGTTGCCTCTCTCTCGGGTACTTCCCAAAAGACTGGAAATACGCTGTGGTTAAATTCATCAGGAAGCGCCCAAACGAGACTCCAGAATATGCAAAGGATTACAGACCAATTAGCCTGCTCCCGATTATTGGGAAAGTCCTCGACAGACTGGTAATCACAAGAACACTGGCCTTCCTGAGAAAGAGAAACCTCCTAAGTTCCCATCAGCATGGCTTTACACCCGGGAAATCGACAACAACAGCTCTAACAACGATCACCAATTATATCAAGAGTGCCAAAACTGAAGGAAAACACACACTCCTGGCCTCAATCGACTTTCGTGGGGCTTTTGACAACTTGTGGTGGCCTGCAATTCTGCAGCAACTCAAGAATCACTGTTGCCCGAGGAACCTATTCTATTTAATCAAAAGCTTCATTGCTGACAGAAAAGCTGGTTTCCTAGTGAACAAAGTCAACTATACCTATGACGTCACCAAGGGCTGTCCACAGGGCTCCATTTCAGGGCCCGGTCTTTGGACTATTGTCCATAGCGAGCTCCTTACAAAAATTAATAACATCGAAGATGGCAATCACCTCATACAGGGGTACGCAGACGATACCGTCATACTGGTATCTGACAAAAACCGTGACAGGCTGTCAGTCCTGTGTAACAATCTATTAGCAAAAATTTCAAGCTGGAGTGCGGAGATTAACTTGCCCATCAATTACTCCAAGTGTTACTACATCATCTTTTCGAAAAACACTCCTCTTCAGAAGAGCCCTCGTATAGAGATCGATGGGGTAAGAGTCTCCCGGGTTAAGGAGTGCACATACCTTGGGGTTAAGCTTGAACAGCAACTTCAATGGTCTAGCCATGTCAATATGGTAGTAGCTAAGGCAACCAAGGCTTCGAATGCTCTCATTAGCATTGCTAAGAATACCTGGGGCATAGGCTATAAGGCAGCTAAACACATCTATCTTGGGGCAATCGAGCCCATTCTGCTCTATGCGGCCCCCATTTGGGCTGATGCTACCCAGAAAGTGTACATCCAGAAAAAACTATCAAAAGCCCAAAGGGTAGCTGCCCTCAGGATTTGCAGGGCCTACCGGACAGCCCCGACTTCTGCCCTTTTGGTGATTGCCGGTCTAATACCAGTTCACATCAAGGCCAGGATGATGGCTAGGAACTGGAAATTCAACAACCTGTTTCTTAACAATAACCCACTAGATAATATCAGGAATAATAACACACTTTTGGAGTTACCCAACGACCTTAAAAATGACATTTTAACCTTCGGGATCGAACTCAAGGACCCCACTTCAAACACAATGTATGACTATCCATCTGCCAGCAATAACATCTCTACTTACAATGAAACTAACGACATATCCATCTTCACTGACGGATCAAAAGACGACAACAAAGTTGGAGCGGCATTTGTTCTCTATGACCATCAAACTGGGAAAACTCATCGTTCAGCATTTAAGCTTGGTCCCCATTGTTCTGTTCCCCAAGCTGAAATTCTGGCCATTACAAAGGCTATTGACCACGTCTTTGCTGAATGGTTTCCTCATAGCAAATCTATCACAATATACTCAGATAGTATTACTGCGATTTACTCTATCACCAATCAAGGGAAACGGGGTGACAACGTCCTCCATATTCACCAGCTTCTCTCCAACAACAGTCACGGACATAATATCCAATTTAAGTGGGTGCGTGGGCATTCTGGCGTTGTTGGCAATGAGGCCGCTGACCGCCTTGCCAAGTCCGCCGCAGTCTCAACCTTGCCCTCCAGCTACAGCAAAATTCCTCTCTCCAAAATCAAGCACTGGAGCTATCAAATCGCCCTCCATCAGTGGCAAGAAGAATGGAACAACAGTGACACTGGAAGATTAACATTCGACTTTATCCCTGACATAGCTCGCCGACT